AAACTCACATAAAAAACAACAAACTAATAGATCTAATAAACTGAAAAGTATGGGTGTGAAATAGTTTCAACATTATTATTAGATTGTTCTTTTTATTTTAAGTGACATAAAATTCATAATCAAGCTACCTGCGTTGGATAAGTCTGAGGATAAGTTCCATATGTGGCAGTTTGAGGCACTGATGCGGCTACTTGTGGATGTGTGTAACTTGCTCCATAACCGCCATAAGCAGCCTAAAAGAGAGAAACCCAATAATATTAATATTTTGATAAAATATAAAAAACAGAAGATTAAAAAATATGAAAAACACCTGTTGGGCATAGGCAGGGTTCCACTGTTGTGCCTGAGCACCATAACCAGCTGCTCCCCACTGATTCTGCATGTTGGGAAAGGCACCCATCACTGAAGCAGGTGTTGGAATAACTGATTTTGCAAGTTTCATTCTGTCAGAAGCTAAATACTCGTCCGCATGGCGCTTCTTGGACTCTGATGTGCTTTTGCGGTGCAAGAACAATTTTGCATGCCGGTTGTCAGCCTTCATGATAGTCTGAGCATCTCCAAAGAGATCCAAGAACTGCAACATCGATTTTGCAAACACGTTACGATAATATTAGTCTGCCAGATACAGCAAAAACTATGTCGATTGTTAAAATTTCAAAATCCAAAACAAATAGGGAATGTAGCAACAAATGTCATTACCTCCAAGAAGATGTTTGATAGCTCCTCTCTTTCATCAACACTAGCAATACTAGGATTCTCAGGATTAGGAACTATGAATTTATCAACCAGGGAATCTAAATATTTGATTTGCTTGGGAAGTGTCTGGATTGATTCTAAGTGGATCATAGCCTGCGATATTTCATATTCAAGAATGTGAATCCAAATGAATACCACAAGGAAATTAGGATGGTTAAAAAAGAACAAAAAAGAAAAGAAAAAAAAAAGATCAGAAAACAGAAATGTTTACAAGATTCAATTAATATATGAAGCGAGCAGATGGAAATAGAAGCACGGGGAGAGCAAAAGAAAAACAGAGAAGCAAGCAGATACCTCTAGAAGGGGTTTCGACAATGGGGAACTCTCCACACCTTGAACAAGTATCTCCCTTGCCTTCTCAACATTGCCAGAAACCTAAGGGGAAAATTTTCGAACACAGTTTAAAAGAATTCATAATTTGCACTTGCAACAACAAGATTCATTGAAGAAATGAGAATCCTCAATCATCTCAATATCAAAATAACCAGAGTGAATGAATTCATATTTTCAAGTTTCCTGGAGATGGTGATTAAAATATAGAAGAAATTGCAAAATACTAGGAAGATGTTGTTCCAACTTGCTCTTTTTTTAAAATAACTCAACGTTCCAAGGCTACTATAATTCCTTAGACATAAAGATCTAGACAAACAATTTAAACATTGAACATAAGCACCAACCAAGATATGAATGAGGAATACAGAGACAATGCACAGAGACAATGCACACAGAGTGCTGCATTCAAGACATACCAAGAATATAAAACGCGAATACTGGGCAAACAACAACGGCAGAGCCTGTGATTGCTCCTTCCCTTTCTCAATTGCAATTGCCTGCTCATATAAGGAACAAGCATCTTCCAAGTTTCCCTGGTAAACAAACGAAACATATAGTTACAAGTTGATAGAGACCAAATTAATTAGGACCCAGAATAGATTACTCATCCAATCTTACAAGTCGGGTTTCCATGTTTGCATGTTTGATAATTGCTTCAAGAAGGCCAGGTGAAATTCCAGTGTGCACAAGTTGATAAGCAGCGCGAGCTCCAGTAACATCACCATGCTTTTCCTTAAATCGGGCAGCAAAAAGATGGATCTCTGGTTGCCTCTGTTTCAACAGATCATTATTAAAAGTTTATAAGGTGTTTCACGTTCATAATTAAGTCTACACAATCTGACCATCATACAGTAAAATTAGGGGAGTGAATCAGATTGAATCATATCACATGAAGATTGATTGAACAATATTCTTGAAATAAGTCCGATCCATGACAAATCTCCTCACCTTTACGAAGACTTGAGTGGCACGGGCAAGTGCATTTTCGGCAAGCTCGGTACTGCCCCTATCTTCCATGCATAATATATACCGAATCCAGTATTCAGGGTATCTAGCACATGCTATCAGACATCTTTCATATAGCTTAACAACCTGAGCACAAATAAAGCCACAAATCAGCAATTCAAGCTCAATGTTTTTTTAAGGAAGAAATAAACATCAGTACTGAGAGAAATGCACAAGGGTACTCCGATGATGGAAAAGGGAGGCCCCTCAAATACGAAGGGAGGGACCCTCCTGCCTGACAGATAGATGGTTAGGAAGTTAAGAACACACCTGCATGCATAACATTGGAAGTTTAAAAAAAATATATCGCCGTACAACACATCATGGACCTAGAATTTCGACTCAAATGAGAGTTTGAAGTACTTAGCCTCATAGAAAGCAAATGGAAGGCCATGCTTTAGTCCAAGATCAATATCCCGTTTTATAAGATGCTTCTCCAACGGTTTAGCCAATAAAGCAAATGAAGCGGCAGATAGTACTTAACTGAAAGTCAATGTGTAACAAGGGAAACTAAAGCTGCATGCCAGATGAACGGAAATATGTCCAAGAGACACAAAGTCGGTTACCTTATTGAGGTCATCTCCACTTTCAATAAAATCAAGATAGTTATGCCAATTCTCGAGCTCTGCAACATTGAGGGGCCTCACATGAAAGTAGGGCCTCCTGATAGCTGTCTCAAAACCAATGATCTTTGAATCGAAGTCCTTTGCTTTTTTATATGTCTCCTCTCTGATAGCAATATACTTCTCCAACTCCTCAGCTTCTTTTAAGCTTGCATTCATAGTCTTTGAGGCACTAGAAGGAACATCTCCCTCATTTTCTTGGGCTACAGCTTCAGACTCTGCAACGGCCAGGGCAGCAGCTTCCTCAGATGTCCGCAACTCAGACAGAGGCCGACTGGCAACCAACTCCTTAAATCTGTAAATAGCATAAACTTAGGTAATATTATTAAATAATATAAAGAAAGCATAAAATAAAAAGATATGCATAAAGCATATATAGCAGTATATATAGATATATAAAGCATGACGATATCAGTAAACGGAAAGAGAGCCTCTTAAGAAAGGAGGCACAAGAAAACAAAAAATAACAGTTTAAAGGATTATGGTCCGGAAACTTCCTAGTAAGAACGAAAAAAAACTCATCATTCTGAATATAAACTACTGAATATTCGGTGTAAAGGAAAGTATTAATAGCATGATTGGTACGAATAGACTCCCCAATACCCTTGATAGAAATACAATAAATCTAATTTCACACTCAAGGAATCTACACAAAAGAGGGATATATTGACTAACTAGAAATTATGATTAACATGCAATCTTGTATTCAAAGTTAGTTCACCTTACCACACCAATTACAAGAACAAAACAGTTCAAATTACAAAAATTTACCCTTCAAAATATCTATCCAGCTGCTGGTTTGGTATCTCCAATACCCTTGTATAAATTGTAGCAACACGAGGCCAATCTTGTTGTGACATCTCATACTCGATGTATTTGTCCCAAAGTGGGAAGCACAAGTAATCAGTTCCAACGCATGCTAATCCTCTTTCAAAAATCCTGAAGCATCAGAAGGATAAAAAACAAATGTAAAACTAAGTAACGATGCAGCCACTCCATGGTCAACCACAAAAGCAAAATGATGACTGGTGTTGAGGAGGAAGGTAAATTCACTCAAAGATCACTTGAGAATTGTGAACTAACATATTATGCTGCATTTACCTTCCTCAACAGAATCTTACACAGCTCGTCAGGGGAGAAGTCACACAGGCCATCTTAGCCTTACTGAGCGACATCTTCGGGCCAGCAATTGTGTGTAATGAAGCACCTCATGTGCCATGGTTAAAAAAAGAAAAATTTCATGACGAATACATTGCTAAACCTAAGGAATATACAAGTGAAAAAATTGATCTGGCCATGTTACCATCCAAACCTACCGACACCCAGCTACCAAATGTGGTAGTCAACTGAGAAAGGGTTTGCACATTAGAATTCTTTAAAATCTAACGTGCATTACCTACAAACCATTACACCTTATACACTTCAGTAATCGCTGTCGGAGAAGGCTGAAATGATGTTAGAGAGCAACAGAAAAAAAACACTTCAACACCAACATCTAGAATTGAGAATACGTTGAACCCATAAAGGATAACAAAGAAAGCCAAGTCCTGAAAGTTACCCTCTTATAGTCTCGGGATCTCCATAAGTGCTGGTAGAAAAAACACAGTAATGAAGCCACATGTCCACAGAGTAAGTCACTCCTTGAACAGCTCGTTCATACACCTCCACAACCTTGTCCACTGAACTGAGGCGTGCCTCGTGATCAGCATACTTCTTCCAGTAACCATAGCATAGAGGAAATTCCGCTAAAAAGGTGTCATAAACTTTTCGGATTTTAAAAATGTTGCCCTAGAAGTTGGATAGAGAAGACAGAAGGGACAAGTTAGTTCAGGTGACAGCCACTGAAGCAGTATGGGCATAATAATACAAGAATATAGTCATATAACAGGGACAAGCAGGCTCCAAGCCTCCATGTTTGTGCCATTGGGTTAATAAATATAATGAGGCCAAATTTCAATCCATTGTTCATACCTCTGCCGTTCTCTCTGTTTCTTCGATTAATGCAGTCCAGGCATCAAAGTCCAGCGAATTAGTCGTTACTATGCTCCATAATCTTTCTTCTTCGGCACTCAGGCCTGCTATAGCAATTTTTTTAACAAATGAGCAGGTATTCCAATCAGAAAGTTGTGAAAAGAACATCAGGAGAAATAGAAAAGCATTCAGGGTTGAATAAGCTTTGTCACATATAGATACCAAAAATTCCTTGATTTGCATTACAGCTCTACCATAACAAAACAGTTATTATGCCCATTTTTTTTTTCCTATCAAAGGAATGTCAATTAATACCAGAACCATCCAAGGGCTGATGCAAAGCAGCAACACCATTTTCGGTAATACCCTCACTTGCTCCATCCCCTGCTTCACTAACACCATTAACATTCAACGACGACTCATAAGCAGCAATTTGAGCGTCCATAGAAGAACTTCCATGGCCGGCAAGATTTTCATTTTCATCATTAGTTGTTACAGCAGGGGTTTCTTGTGTGGTCATATTTTCTGATGGGGCATCGGGAGCAGGAGTGGAACCAGCAATGTTCTCTGCAGCTGGAGCAATGAAGCCACCAACATCAGAAGCACCAACAGCACTTGCATCATTATAGACAGCAGATGTTTGTGCCGTAATGGTCTCGCTATCTCCCATAACACAAACAGGGTGCTTTCAAGGGACTGCATACATTAGTAGCAGCTACAGTCAGGAGAATTGATCATGGAGCATGAAACTTCTAACATGGGCTGGAAGAATAAATTGCGTGATGTAACCAGGCAAATGAATATTTATCTGTTCCGTTAACCTACATGCACCTATATTATCGACTTCATTATATTATACATTTGGTTTACTACGGGAAAAAAAATCTGCTCTACATCTATGTTGGTTTATAAAGTTGCAAGGAAGAGCAACAAAGTTAAATAATATGAAGAACACCCACACACACACAAACAAAAAAAACACATATATAAATAAAGGATGAATAAACAACCAAAGACATCTTACTGGCAGAGATTTATAGTTCAAAGAATTATAGTTCCTAAGACATTCTTGATAGACATCTTACTGGCACAAGAAACAAAGTGGACACCTTAAGTATGCTCTCTTCTAATGAGATTGTGCTGATAGCAGACCTCAAAAGGTTGCACATAGGATTAACCTCAGTAATTAGCCAATCACAGCAAATCGACTGCAAGAAACTACAACAAGACTACAGATCACAGCATGTAGACGAAAGTAAAGCTACAAACATTTCACATAACCACCCCAACAAAAGCTAACACACCAAAAACATAAAGCTCCACTAGTACACAGTTCAATTAGAAAAACTAGATGCAATTATGGATGAATTCAACATTGGCGAAAGGATAAGTATCATATCACGTACCTGAAACCAGAGAGGCGACGGCAAAAACGGGGCGAAAGTTTTCAGATGGAGATGTGATTATTGATTAAGCTTACTCGCTCTCTGTAGAAGTTTCTGGTATATGAGGGTTTTACTCAATGGGGAGGACTCGAGAGGATAGTTGAGAAGATAGAAAGGGGCAGACTTACAGTTAGGGCTTCTATGTTTGTAATAGGAAGTGGCTACACTCCGCAAGAGCACGAGAGGCTTTGGGTTCCAATTTGGGTAAATAAAAAAACATTTTTCATTTCTCAATTGAAGAATATATATTATTCATGTTTTCATTTTATTTTTATTTTTTTCTGGCTGAATTTTAATGTAATTTTTTTTTTATTCATTGCTATAATTTTTTTATAAAATTTATTGTTCACTAAATTACACATTTATAACTATCAATATAATATAAAACAACTATATCACTTTCAAAAAATGTATTATAAATCCTCAAATTGCTCATAAATAAGTACAATAATACAATAGTCTTTTGATTAAAAAAAAGTGATAAATACAAAACAAATATAAGCAACTAATATTGTTTGTGTATCCAACAATTATGAGAATTACTCAATTGACAAAAATATAAATAAAAAATATTAAATTAATTATGTATTTTATTGAATACTACAAACAAAAATCGTGAAATTTTATAATTTCAAATATAATTTAGTTGTAGTAAAATAAATAATAAGAATAATATTTTATTTTATTCACGTTACAAACTCGTTCATCGGACAAGTAGAAACTAGTACGTGGCCCGTGCGATGCACGGGAAAATAATATTTTGATTGTTTTATAAATTAAATAAATAAATAACATTAATCATGATTTACCCATTATTTATAAATTAAACCGGGTTGGACACAGTCCGACCGGATGGACCGAGAACCGGTTTATAACCGATTTAGTGCGCTTGAATAAAATATTTGCTATCGAATCCGCCAACACCAGTATGTTGGACTGGTAAGATCGATACAATTTTCTAAACAAATTTTGTTACATGAAAAATTATTTTAAATAAAATTACATATTTAAATAAAACAGAGATTAATAAATTGTTTATCAATTAGTTTAAACATTTGAATTTATAAATTGTTTAGATATTTAAGTAACACTTTTTATTTAAATTTATTACAAAAAGTACTATATATATATATATATATATATATTAAAGTATTATGTCTTAAAATCTGAACAACCACAAGACGGTCCGATTCTGAAAACCTTATATTTACCGTACATTAATAAAAATGATAATGAAATAAATATTTTGTTCACATAAATAATAATAAAATGATACATAAATATTCATAAATCATTAATCATGTTGTCATAAAAGTATTGCTAATATGATTATTTGAAGTTTGGACTACATCACATTCACGTAATAAAGTATTTTCAATATTAAAATTTATATTTAGGTTCAATAATCAATTTGGTCTGGTCAAACTGATACATAACTTAATTACCTCGGACCAACCAAGTTATGTCAAGTTTTTTGACTATTTTAAATATCATCTAAAAGTAATTCAATCAAAGTGAGCAGTACCCTAATTCAATCACCCGATTGATCCAAAGTAATTTCCTTATTTTCTTTAAATATAATATTTAATTTTATAAAATAAAAATATTTTATGATTCATATGTCTACACCAAATGATAATATATTAAGATTATAAATTATATATCCAAAGATGAACTATTTATTTTTATTTTATGCATATTAATAAAAAATATAACATAGTAATTTTAAAAAAATTAAGATTAATTGATTGGGTATACAATTTAAAAAATATTTTTAGCGTTCAATATATATATATATATTTAATATGATTGAATTTTGGATTAGAATATATATATTTAAAATAATTTTATTATTAAAAGTCAAAAAGAAAAGATGGCATAAAGATTACAACTTTGAAAAGTTTGTAACCATTAATTTATGAACCCTCCGATTTTAAATGATTTATAATTTTTGAAACATGATACGTGCATTTAAAACCCATTAATTTTGGAACCATCCAATTTTTTGATAATGAATTAAAATTAAAATGTAAAATATAAAAGTTGCTGAAAATAGTATATAATAAATGTGGTTGACTTTTCCTTACTACTATTTATGGTAAATGTTAATTCTTATTATATATATATAGATATAGATATAGATTCTAAAAATATTGGACCAAGAAAAACATTTTATTGGGTTGGGCCTAGAAAATGTATCAACCCACTGAACCTACGGTGCAACTTAACCCGATTTATGTTGCGGTAAGACGGGCTTGGCTTGGCTAGAAGCCTAGGACTAGCGCTGCACAAACCCTAATAAAAATCTTATCGTCGTCTCCAAACTCCAAAGCTCGTGCTCGCTGCTTAGCATCTCGAGAATGTCTTCCAAGAGGATCGGAGCACCGCCTTCCGACGCCGGAATCCTCTCCCGCGCGTCTTCCGCCGTCTCTCAGTCCCCCATCGTGTACCGCGGCAAGAAAGCCGCCGCCGACACCGCCTTCGTCGCGAAGAAGCTGCTGAGGAGCACCGGGAAAGCCGCGTGGATCGCGGGGACCACTTTCCTCGTCCTTTTCGTGCCTCTGATTATCGAGATGGATCGCGAGCAGCAGTTCAACGAGCTCGAGCTGCAGCAGGCTAGCTTGCTCGGCGGCGCCCCTGCTAAGTAATTTATTTCTATATCTTCGGTAATTTGGTGGTGGAATGCTTTTAAATTGAATCCAGAAACTGATTGCATTCGTTTTTGGACAAATTTTCAATTTTTATTTTAGGGTTGTACTAGTAAAATGCATTACCAGGTTTTAAGAATTTGACTGCTATGTTTTCTGCCTTGATCGATGATTTCTTATTGATTTGGTGTTTGACTGCTATGTTTTCTGCCTTGATCGATGATTTCTTATTGATTTGGTGCTTTGTGTGTGTGAATTTTGACACGAATTTATGCGCCCTGGGCCAATGGCTGCAAAAATACTGATTGTGGTGTGAATAATCACGAATCATATTATCATACCATGTTTTGTTGCAACACTTCCGATTTGTAGTTTGACTCGTGGGATTGAGTTGGGCCATTGTTTAGCAGCTCTACATTACTTGGCCTACAATAAGGCTAGCCTAAATCATACTTTTTCAAAAGTTATGCACACTTTCAAATTGAAATGTCATGTTTTCAAAACAATATAAACAAAAGTATGACATTTCATAAGTATGCATTTTTTTGTTAAAGAAATATGATAGCTCGACCCACCTAATAGTTAGACTGCGTCATACAAGAACTGCTTGAGAACAGCCTTGGCTGGTTGTTTCATCATGGCAATTGGTTCCAGATATTATTCTGACCTTTAAATTCCACTTGTAGTGAAGTGGAAATCACTTTGAACTTGTATGTTGAAATTTTCCACAATTTGAAACCTTGTTATTTGCCACATTGTGTTTCTCTCTTTGTTCTATGTTGGATACATTTTATGAATGAGTGCATATTAGACGGTGCCTCTACTTACAGGGTAAATTCCGCCCCCGCCCTCCTACAAACTTTGAGGAAACATTTTTAGCTTGTTTCTGCTGAGACTTAAACTCATATTTCCCAGTATGAGACTTAACTCATATGTCCCATTTTTTTAACCTGCTTTTATATCTAATAGCTTGTAAGGGTGTGATTCCATCCATATTCAATTTATACTCAAAATATAATTTAACATTAACGGATCTTCACTATTTTCAATATTATCAATATACTTAAATAGTATAAATCAATCATTCTTACACATAATATACTTAAATAAGTGAAAATAGTCTTTTTCACTCCACTATGGAAATGTATTAAGTTTTTTCACAACGCTCGTAGATGAGTTAATTTTTTCACCCCAGAAAGTGCGAAAGGCATTGTGTGATGAATATGCGATAGTTGCGCGATGACATTGTGCGAAAGTTAAAAGTGCGAAGGCATTCGCATATCTCTTCACACTTTCTGGGGTGGAAAAAGTTAAAGTGTGAAGGCATTGCGCGATAAATAGGCGACAATTATGCAATTGATATGCGACAATTATGCAATTGATATGCGACAGTTATGCAGTCCATTCGCATAACCTTCGCACTTCTCGGGGTGAAAAAGTTAGATTGTTAGTGGGCGGTGTGAAAAACTTAATGTATTGTATTGGGGTGAAAAAGATTTTTTCCCCTTAAATAATATAAATCAATCATTTTTACACATTACATCAACTTTTATTCACTATTCAAAGCAAGTTCAATACTGCACTACAATGCTACTCTACTTCAAAGTTGTGCGAAAAAATCATTTCAATGTTGCGTTATATTTTCGCACTACTCTTAATATGAATAGTATTGTGCTACATGACATTAATTATGGCGCTACAATTCTTTTTCTAATTTTTATTTTATTCTTATTTAATTTTTATTCTATATATTATTTTGACAAAGTATAAGGGGTGGTGACATTTCTGTAATTATGAAGACTTTTTTTTTCTTTTTCATGGAGAACACATTTTTGTCATTGTGCAATATATAGGCTATTGTGTATTTTCATATACATTAATGTGTATTTCACCTAACACTATTGTGCATTCCTTAGCACGTTGGCATAGTGATAACTTTGTCAACTTTTAATGTGCATATAGACATAATATTGTTGTCCCGATTTACAATGTTGTATGGGGGAACCCGCTCGTCGTGTACCAGGTGGATCGAGTCCTCATGCCCCATTAGTTCTACGTAGGGTTGTAAACGAATCGAATCAAAGCGAATACTATGCTATTCGATTCGAATTCGAAAAAATATTCGAGTATTCGAATTCGGATTCGATTCGTAAACGAACTTAAATTTTGATTCGTATTCGATTCGTTACAAATATTCGAATATATTCGATTCGATTCGAAATTCGTTTACAGAAAAAAAAAATTATTTACAAAAATGTTGATAATGTTTTTCCTATTGAATTTGAGTGTAACAAATACATTGAGCCCATGAATAAAACATAAATAAGCATTCATAATTACTTGATGAATCCATTAATAAAACAAACAACTTCAAAACCACAAACATAATCATCCTAAAAATATTAACAGCAAAAATACATGAACACAATAGAGTTCATATTTCTTTCCTTCACTTCAAACACATTCCTTAAATACAATTAAAAAAAAATAACAATTGTTCCAATTTTACTACAACAAAACATTGAACATCAACTTTACTGAAACACCATCGACTTAGC